AAATTTATTATAATTATGGGACGTTTCACGTCAACCGGCCCAAAGCTATGTCCAAAATTCTATGCAATAAGAATAAACATGTAATAGATGAAAATACTCGTAAACTCATCCCCTTTCAATTGCAAAGTGGCAGGATTGAAAATTCAAAATGGCGTCCTTACTATGTCAAGTGGAAGCGGCTAACTTGAGAAATAAGTAAATATAATTATTAATTTCTTTTAGAAAATTATGCAAAAATTTTAGGTCACCACATATTTTAATGTTTTTGGGGTCGCTCATTACGAATCTGAAGTCAGTTTTTCAAAATTCAAAATGGCGGATCCAATATGGCGGATTATTTTTTAAAAATTAATTGAATTTGCTTGAAACTTGTTACTCGGGGGTTTTCGAGGTCGCTGATTACGAATCTGAAGTCACTTTTTCAAAATTCAAAATGGCGGATCCAATATGGCGGATTATTTTTTAAAAATTAATTGAATTTGCTTGAAACTTGTTACTCGGGGGTTTTCGAGGTCGCTAATTACGAATCTGAAGTCAGTTTTTCAAAATTCAAAATGGCAAATCCATACTTTGTGATACTTTGTTATAATTATGAACTGTAAGAATGTGGTTGCCTTGAAAAAGGCTGATTGTTAAAATTTTTAAACCACAATTTTTAGGTGGCCTTAAAAAAGGCCGTTTGAATTAAATTTACAAAATACATCCAAACCAATGTAATTATATTTTAATATTGCATAACTGCAATAGGATGAGGTGCATTTGAATATTTGAATATTTTTAATTGTTTTTCTGGTGTTACAATAAAAGAATGAGCAGATTGAATTTTTGTAACACTAGGTGCTTTAGAAAATCTACTAGCAAGTTTTCGTTTCACTCTCTCGTGTTGTTGCTTGTTGTAAAAGAAAATCTGCGAAGTCTTGATATTTTGCTTAGCCCATTGGTAAAGACTCTCTGCATTTAAAATGGCTTTGTCTGGTGAGGATTGCAAGCTAGCACGAGTGGCTTCTCTCTTTAAAATAGCTCCTATGCCATCACATGATCCTTTTCCATGTGCTGTTGCATGGAAATGCCACTCTGCCTCTAAGTTAAAATCTTCCTTGTGGTGTACGAGGTTGACAATTTGGAAGCGATTTTTATAGTGCTCCATCACTAAAATAAATGACTTTTTTTGCTCTTGGGCAAACCTCTTTGATGATGGGCATTACTGTCTGTTGCAGTAAGTAAACTGCAGATGTGTCGTGACTGTTACTATCAGACAGTAATATCATGCTGTAGTGCTTTAATTCGCCTTCATGCTTATAGTAAAAAACTACAGGATGGACTGTACACTGATCATTGTTGTAATGAAATCCTTGTGCAGCATCCTGAACAACGAAAGCATAGTTTTCGGAAAAATCGCACTGCAAAATTACCTCCTCATCTTTGAGAGTTTCTTTTCTGCCTTTAAAGAAGTTGGACTGATTTTTAGCGATGAAATGGTGCTGGGAAAACTTTTGGAAATCATTTGACAGATTTTTGACATAATCTTCCGCAGAAAGGCACAATTTTTTCAAATTGCATCTGTCGGTCGATTGCCAAAAACTAAAAATGATTTCCGAAATATCATTTTCTTCCAAAATGGATGAAATTTTTTAAGTGAAATTTTCAATACCGGGACAGGAATTACATTCTAGCAAAAAACAAGATGGTTGAGGATTTTGGCACAAATTTAATTTGAAACAATCTTTGTAGCTTTCGATTATGATGTCTGAGTCACATGTCAATTTTGCAAAATTTACAGCGTCAATCATCATTTTGAAATTTTGATGAATGACGCAAACGCAAACACTATGTGTGCCTGATGAACCAGCACAAACACAATTTTTTGGACGAAGTTCTGCAAATTTTGTCAGTCCTATAGGAAATTCAGGATATTCCTTTTTAAATTGTGTGTGCAAGACTTTAATATCCGAAAGTAAAAGACGTTTTTGTACTTTCTTAGTCTCTCCATTTGTTTTAATAGTAACCGTGTCCTTTTTATTCGGCATTATTCGGCTATTTTGGTCAAACTCGTAAAAATCTTGCACCTTCTGAACTGTAAGATCAGGTAAAACTTTACCTTTTTTTGAAATGGATATTGCCAAAACTCCCTCCGCTTTTCTCAAAAGCTTTCTCCGCTTTTTTTGCTTGTCTTTCAGAACAACCAAATTCGGAAGCAATCTGACGAATAGTCCAACATTCAGGAGCTATTGTCAGTATCGATAAGCGTGAAGGATCGTTTTCAGGGAGAGAAGCAAATTTCTCTTTAAGACCACATAATAATTCTTCTAATTCATCCTCTCTCGATAAAAAATTTTTTTTTTCGCGGTGGTTCATCAGGTTTGCTTGAATTCTCTACTGAATTATCTTGGTTACATCTTTTTCTACATTCGTAACATATCCTAGAGAACGGAGAAATCTGAGGAAATACTTTTAGTAAGTTCTTCGATATTTTTCTCAAACCTGATCCCTTTGATTTTCTCGATTAAGGGGATTGATGCATCGATCTCCGTGGTTTGAACCACCAAAAAACTGTTCTTTACTCTCTGACATGATATAAAATGAAATTAGGTACTAAATTTGTGGATTCACTTTGTTAGGAAGCAAAGAAACTGTGAAAAACGAAATTAAGAAAAAAAACAAAAATGTAAATCGAACAATTCACCTTGTCATAAAATGGTAAAACACAAAATGAAAACGCAAGAATGAAAACGAATAACAAAAAAAATCAGTTAATGAAATAATTTAATTTATCAGGAAACGAATAAAACAAAAGAAACGAAACATCAATTTATGTTATTGAATCTGAGTTCAATACTATGAAAGAAATGATCCTCCTTATCAGGAAGCGACAAAGACAAGAAAAAAACGGGTAATCTTTAATTTTTAAGTAATAAATCTCACCAACTCAAGAGTACAAGTAATTTTCTTAAATAAATCACATCTAAAACTATACACGTTCATTTGACACACTGAGGGATCAATAAAAACATTTGAACATCGTGAAAAAAATGACAATCGCTAAAACATATGAAGATCACTAAAACATAAGACCATCGTTATAACCTTTTAGAGGCCAATTCTATATAACTATTTTTACAGTTGATACACTGAGGGATTAATAAAAACATTTAAACATCGTGAAAAAAATGACAATCGCTAACACATATGAAGATCACTAAAACATAAGACCATCGTTATAACCTTTTAGAGGCCAATTCTATATAACTATTTTTACAGTTGACACACTGAGGGATTAATAAAAACAGTTGAAAATCGTGAAAAGAATGACAATCGCTAAAACATATCTTACGAAGTCTGAATAAGCTCTTTTATATTTTAGATATCGTGCATGTTTTTACGATGCTCAATTGTTGTTACTACTTACAAGAACATTCATGAAAATAAATTATTATTACAGCCGCATTTAAGAAGTTACTAAAACTCAGTTAATCAGTTAATAATGAAATGTACTGAATCAGACACATTATTTGATTATTCGTTTTCTTCCTTTCGATTTATACAGTTTCTTTGACTCGCAACAAGGTGAATAATTTTATCTACAAATATTGTACCTAATTTTCTTCTAAATCATAGCAGAGAGTAAAGAAAAATTAAGGAAAAGTTGTGTTTGAGGAAGCTTTCAGGCATCTCAGAACGCTAGGACTTCAGATTCATAATCAGCGACTTCCAAAACCCCCGAGTAAAAAGTTTCAAGCAAATTCAATGAATTTTTAAAAATTCGTCCGCCATATTGGATCCGCCATTCTGAATTTTGAAAAACTGACTTCAGATTCGTAATCAGCGACCCCGAAAACCCCCGAGTAAAAAGTTTCAAGCAAATTCAATGAATTTTTAAAAATTCGTCCGCCATTCTGAATTTTGAAAAACTGACTTCAGATTCGTAATCAGCGACCTCGAAAACCCCCGAGTAACAAGTTTCAAGCCAATTCAATTAATTTTTAAAAAATAATCCGCCATATTGGATCCGCCATTTTGAATTTTGAAAAAGTGACTTCAGATTCGTAATCAGCGACCTCGAAAACCCTCGAGTAACAAGTTTCAAGCAAATTCAATTAATTTTTAAAAAATAATCCGCCATATTGGATCCGCCATTTTGAATTTTGAAAAACTGACTTCAGATTCGTAATCAGCGACCTCAAAAACATTAAAATATGTGGTGACCTAAAATTTTTGCATAATTTTCTAAAAGAAATTAATAATTATATTTACTTATTTCTCAAGTTAGCCGCTTCCACTTGACATAGTAAGGACGCCATTTTGAATTTTCAATCCTGCCACTTTGCAATTGAAAGGGGATGAGTTTACGAGTATTTTCATCTATTACATGTTTATTTTTATTGCATAGAATTTTGGACATAGCTTTGGGCCGGTTGACGTGAAACGTCCCATATATATTTTTTATTTTCTATGTTTTGAAAAACTTTATAAATTTTATAATTTGACTTATTGTGCTATTCAGAAATTAAAACAATTTTTTTTGGAATTCACATTTTTTAAATATCAGATTAATATTTTCTTCCAACATTTTAGATTAATTACTTTTAGCATTAAACTTTACAATGCAGAAGTACGCATTAGAAAAAAAAATTTTAATGGCAAATTTCAATAAATTTTCGTCTTCAAATATATTTTATGCAATATTACTTGCAAGGCAAATTATAAAAAATGTTTCTTAAAAAAACTTTTATAATATTCATTCTTAAAAAAATTTGAATTGTAATCCATTATTATATAATTTTTTGCTGTACAGTACTGTATTTTTTTAGAATAAGTTCAACGTGGAAAAATTCTCGTCAATTCCGATCACTTTTTTAAAAAAATGAAAAAATTACTTTTTTTCATGTATTTTTTTAAAAATAAAATCTCTATTAATATTAAACACAAGTTTTATGTTGTGAAAAGTTAAAATTGCATAACCAATATTATGAGCATAACTTACTGTCCCTGATAATTTTTAGGATAATGATGATAGTGATGTTGATGTCAATGCCATACATATAGACAATGTTTATGAGGAGCATAATTTAAGAAATACCGATTCCAGTAATATTGATGATGATTCGACTGAAAACGAAAGTGTTGGTTCTTATACAAAATCAGTTTCATCCAGCAGTAACAATAACGATAATTCTGCTAATTCAATTAATGACCCAAATGATTTAAATGATGAAGGTAATTTTTAGCTTACTTAAATTTAAATATGCTTAAGTTAAAAAGCATAAAAAAATATATATTTAATAATAAATAATAATTCATTAGCATTAATTTTTTATTATTGAAGCAATTGAAAATTATATAGCTCTTAGCTTCTAATTCTCAAATTACATAATTAGACACAAAGTGAATGATTTTACCTCTATGAGGAAGCAAAAATTTTCAACATATAACTATAATTTATTTTCTTCCCATGTAAAAAGTTTCCTTAGTTTATTAAAATTTCAATCTATATTTACAAACATTTTTTTGGTTACTTTTCTTGTACTTTCCTTATATCGTGCAATTCGAAATAGTGACTGAAATATCTAAAAAAAACAATTTGGTAAAATATTCCTTAATAAAAACTCTTAATACAATGCATATTATTTCATTAACTGTTTCAACATAATTGTTAGAAAATTGTCACCAACTACTTTAAAAATAAAATTTTAAAAATCATTGAAAAGTAAATTCTAAATTTTTTATTCTAATCATTTCATTTATATAAACTGATGTACTTTCTTTATTCTTCAATTTGATTTACACTCTTTTTTCGTTGTTTTCTCTTTGCCTAATCATCGCCCCCAGGTAGAAGCTTCAACCTATTTTCAAGCTATCTATATATATAAAATCAAATATTGTACCCCGTACAATTTATTTCTCTCCGTATTATAGTACATAACTTGATTTTTTTTCATTACAAAAATAACAAAATATTAAGTAATTGAGTAGCTGCCTGCAATAACTCGCCGAGCGCTTGGCCGATCGCTCTAACGCCAGTCAAACGTTCAAAAACGTGAAAAAAATGAAAAATCAAAATTTTGATTTTTGAAAAGTGCAATCTTGTAGGACATAAGATGGCGCATCTTTTTTTCCTTTGAGTTTTTTTTGTAGATCAAAAAATAGAGTTAATATATGCAAAACACTTAAAAATTTTATTTCACAAATTTCATTCAATTTTTAAACATAAATCATAGTATCTTTGACAAATTGCAATGAATCTTATTGAAAATTAATATACATACGTATTTAGGTCCATAGAAGACGACAACATAATCAAAAATATTAAAATCATCAATTGTTTATTTATAATTAATTGTAAATGAAGACTTGTCAATAATAATGTTTACTTACCTTTGTCGACATAAAGTGTGTGGGGAACTTCAGAGTTGAAGAAACTTCCAGTGAGACATTTGTTTATCATAATGTAAGGAAGTTTTTTGTAAAATTGAAAAACAATTTATCAACAACTTTAGAAAATATAGAACGTTTAAGAAAACATGCGCGACGCGCTAGCGAGTCTCCGCGCGGAGAATTGCAAACAAGAGTTGTAGAGGACCGAAAATACAGAAACAAATATTGTCACTACATTCTTAGAAATGTTTTTCAAATAAAATATGTGTTAATTTTATGAAAATGCAAATTAAATTTGAACAACTGTTTTTTTAATATTTACTAAATAATCAATAGTTTTAAAATATTTTGGTGCTTGTATGTACTATTTGTGCAGTTTGCAAATAAGTTTTTTATTAATTAATATTAAGGTATATCTTTATTTTCTGTTTCTTCATTTTTTTAAGAAATTAGTGTATTGTTACATATCAACAGTGATAGTATGTTGGCTCCATTTTCAAAACATAATATATCACAACATAACATAACGTCCTTCTTAACTCTTGTGTGCAATTCTCCGCGCGGAGACTCGCTAGCGCGTCGCGCATGTTTTCTTAAACGTTCTATATTTTCTAAAGTTGTTGATAAATTGTTTTTCAATTTTACAAAAAACTTCCTTACATTATGATAAACAAATGTCTCACTGGAAGTTTCTTCAACTCTGAAGTTCCCCACACACTTTATGTCGACAAAGGTAAGTAAACATTATTATTGACAAGTCTTCATTTACAATTAATTATAAATAAACAATTGATGATTTTAATATTTTTGATTATGTTGTCGTCTTCTATGGACCTAAATACGTATGTATATTAATTTTCAATAAGATTCATTGCAATTTGTCAAAGATACTATGATTTATGTTTAAAAATTGAATGAAATTTGTGAAATAAAATTTTTAAGTGTTTTGCATATATTAACTCTATTTTTTGATCTACAAAAAAAACTCAAAGGAAAAAAAGATGCGCCATCTTATGTCCTACAAGATTGCACTTTTCAAAAATCAAAATTTTGATTTTTCATTTTTTTCACGTTTTTGAACGTTTGACTGGCGTTAGAGCGATCGGCCAAGCGCTCGGCGAGTTATTGCAGGCAGCTACTCAATTGAAATCTATGTCTCCACTTCGTCAGAGTTTCTTTATTATATTTTAGTCTTTTCTACAAAATTCCAAATAATTTAGTATTCAATGCATTTAGTATTTTTTGGCTAGTTTTTAATTATTATTATATTTTTTATTTTAGAAAATAAAGTTTGTTAATCAATTTATAACCATTTAGAATTTTATGACGCTATTGAAGAAAGTAATGACGAAAGCGATAGCGATAGTGGTTCCGAAAATGAAAATAATGAATTTGTGGAAAATGAAGACTTACCATTGTTTCCAGGATGCCCGCTAACACTTTCAGAGAGTTTATTAAGCATTCTGTCGCTCACACTTCGTTTTACTATTACTGGTGTGTTACAAGCATCTATTTTAGAATTAATTAAAATGCACTGCCCTGAGCCCAATCTGTGCATTGAATCTTTGTATAAGTTCAAAAAATATTTCGAACATTTGAAGAGCCCAGTACAAAGACATTTTTAATGTAAAAATTGTTTAAATGATGTTGAAGATGAAAATCAACAATGTACCAATTGCTTCGATCAAACTGAAGTCAGTTATTTTATGACAATTTTTGTAATTTCTCAATTGAGTGCATTGTATGGTAGACGCGGTTTTCGAGAGAAATTAAATTACAAATATAATAGACTTAAATTAGTTGATGAGAATATTGAAGAAATTTATGATGGTAGCGTTTACAAAGAGCTAAGTCAAGATGGACAAATATTATCCGATCCGAATAATATATCATTCTGCTGGTATACTGATGGTGTACAGGTTTTTAAGTCATCCAAGTTCTCGTTTTGGCCGCTATACCTCGTAATTAACGAACTTCCATATGAAGAACGTTTCAAAAAAGAAAATTTAATTTTAGCAGGCTTGTGGTTTGGGGAGGAAAAGCTGCTCCCAAACTTATTCCTTCTTCCTCTGTATGATGAAATTCAGCAAATAGGAAATGGAGTTCAATTTAATTTACCTGGTTATGAAAATCATATTCAAGTAAAGGGAATAATAATTTGCGGAACATGCGACCTTCCCGCGAAAGCCCTTTTCTTGAATATGAAACAATCTAATGGGATAGCCGCCCGAGTTGACAGACAACCCATACTTGGTGTAAAAGGTTTTACAATTCTATCCCTCCTTGTCTTCCAATGGATTAAAACAACGGCACTTGATGCAATGCATTGTGTTTTTGAAGGTGTAATGAAAGCAATGTTAAATTTATGGTTTAATGTAGAGTTTGACAACATGCCTTGGTCATTATATAATCATATTGACACTGCAGATAGAAGGTTTCAAAATTTAAAACCACCTGGTTTTGTGCAAAGAAGACCGCGATCGATTAAAAAACATTTAAAATATTGGAAGGCATCAGAAATGAAGAATTTTTTCTTTTACTACTCTCTCTTAATTTTGGAAGATCTAATGAAACGGGATAATTTTGAACACCTAAAATTATTAGTTGGAGCAGTTTTCCTACTTTGCCAAAAGAGTATTTCGGAACAGATGATAGTTGAAGCATCACGAATGTTGCACGAATTTGTTTCGAGATATCAATATAAATATGGTCTCCGAAATATGTCATGCAACATTCATTCTTTGCTTCATCTACCTGATCTCGTACGCAATTTAGGACCACTGTGGGAGTACAGTTGTTTTTGTTTTGAAGACATTAATAGTAAGATAAAAAATTTGGTCCATGGTAGTAAAAGTGCACAATTACAAATTTACAGTGCGGCTGCTTTATTGGTACTTTCACTTTAAACAAAGATTTTTTAAATGAAGGTAGTAAACCGTTCCTTTTTTGTAAAAAGCTTTTGTGTCCGAAAAAACAACTGAGATTGTACAATATTGGTCAATCTCTCTACATAGCAGGAGGATTATCAAGAGTTCATGTTCGAGATGAAATTATGCAACAATTTGAACAAGACGGAATCGTAGGTCTAAAATATAGTGTTTTTAAAAGATTATCTAAAAATAACACTGTTTACATGTCAGAACTCTATACTCGGTCAAAAGTTACGAATTCTACTTGTGCAAAATACTTTGATAACAATGAAACTATGTTTGGCATTATAGTACTATTTGTAAGAGTGAGTAATTGCTTATGCCGTCGGTTATGACAGTGTAGGGCAGAGCATTATGCAGTAATGAAAACTTGTCGAAGTCGCATTGCATATCCAAATACATGTATACCTGGCGGACCGAGATTGAATTATATTCATCATTTGGAAATTCTTGAAAATGAATTTAAAATTGTTAATGTAAATTTTTTACGTTCGTTGTGTTTTCTCATATACATTAAAAACAGAAATTTTATATACGTCGTTGAGCCTGTCAATACTATAGAACAAGAGTAAATTCATGTTAGTGAAAATTTAGTTTAAGTTTTGCCGTTGCATGTATTTGATCAGTTTTGTAACGCTTTGTGTGTTGCCCGAATGACGTTTATAAATTCATAAGTCGAGAGACTCTTAGTAAACTGGACTTATTATACAATTGAGCTTGATTGATGATTTTAAATTATAATAAACTTTATATTAAATATTCTTCCTAACGGAGTGTTTTATTTTTAAAACAATATTTTCCCATGGTTTCCAAGACTTTAACAATGGTCGAAAATATCTAACATTAAAAATTTTTTACCTATGGTTCGGAAGATTTTAGCAATGGTTCAAAATCAGTTAAATAAAAAAAATTAACTTCCCCTGGTTTCCAAGATTTTAACAATGGTCCAGAAACTGTAAAATTAAATAAAAGATTTTCCATGGTTTGCAAGATTTTAGCAATGGTCTAAAATCCCTAAAATTAAATAAAAGTTTCCCATGGTTTGCAAGATTGTCGCAATGGTCAAAAATCCCTAAAATTAAGTAAAAGATTTTCCATGATACGCAAGATTTTCGCAATGGTCAAAAATCCGGTAAATTAAAAACAAATTTCTCATGGTTTTCAAGGTTTTAGCAATAGTCCAAAACCCGTGAAATTAAAAAAAAATTTACCATGGTTCGCATGATTTCAGCAATGGTCCAGAATCCTTAAAATTAAATAAAAGATTTCCCATGGTTTGCAAGATTTTAGCAATGGTAAAAATCTCTAAAATTAAATAAAAGATTTCCCATGATTCGCAAGATTTTCGCAATGGTCAAAAATCCGGTAAATTAAAAAAAAAAATTTCCCATAGTTTGCAAGGTTTGCAATAGTCCAAAACCCGTGAAATTAAAAAAAAATTTACCATGGTTCGCATGATTTCAGCAATGGTCCATAATCCTTAAAATTAAATAAAAGATTTCCCATGGTTTGCAAGATTTTAGCAATGGTCAAAAATCCCTAAAATTAAATAAAAGATTTCCCATCATTCGCAAGATTTTCGCAATAGTCCAGAACCCGTGAAATTAAAAAAAAATTTACCATGGTTCGCATGATTTCAGCAATGGTCCATAATCTCTAAAATTAAATAAAAGATTTCCCATGATTCGCAAGATTTTCGCAATGGTCAAAAATCCGGTAAATTAAAAAAAAAATTTCCCATGGTTTTCAAGGTTTTAGCAATAGTCCAGAACCCGTGAAATTAAAAAAAATTTACCATGGTTCGCATGATTTCAGCAATGGTCCATAATCCTTAAAATTAAATAAAAGATTTCCCATGGTTTGCAAGATTTTAGCAATGGTCAAAAATCCCTAAAATTAAATAAAAGATTTCCCATCATTCGCAAGATTTTCGCAATGGTCAAAAATCCGGTAAATTAAAAAAAAAATTTCCCATGGTTTGCAAGGTATTAGCAATAGTCCAGAACCCGTGAAATTAAAAAAAAATTTACCATGGTTCGCATGATTTCAGCAATGGTCCATAATCCCTAAAATTAAATAAAAGATTTCCCATGGTTCGCAAGATTTTCGCAATGGTCAAATATCCGGTAAATTAAAAAAAAATTTCCCATGGTTTGCAAGGTTTTAGCAGTAGTCCAAAACCCGTAAAATTAAAAAAAAATTTACCATGGTTCGCATGATTTCAGCAATGATCCATAATCCCTAGAATTAAACAAAAGATTTCCCATGGTTCGCAAGATTTTAGCAATGGTCAAAAATCCGGTAAATTAAAAAAAAATTTCCCATGGTTTGCAAGGTTTTAGCAGTAGTCCAAAACCCGTAAAATTAAAAAAAAATTTACCATGGTTCTCATGATTTCAGCAATGGTCCATAATCCCTAGAATTAAACAAAAGATTTCCCATGGTTCGCATGATTTCAGCAATGGTCCATAATCCCTAAAATTAAATAAAAGATTTCCCATGGTTCGCAAGATTTTCGCAATGGTCAAAAATCCGGTAAATTAAAAAAAAAATTTCCCATGGTTTGCAAGGTTTTAGCAGTAGTCCAAAACCCGTAAAATTAAAAAAAAATTTACCATGGTTCGCATGATTTCAGCAATGGTCCATAATCCCTAGAATTAAACAAAAGATTTCCCATGGTTCGCAAGATTTTCGCAATGGTCAAAAATCCGGTAAATTAAAAAAAAATTTCCCATGGTTTGCAAGGTTTTAGCAGTAGTCCAAAACCCGAAAAATTAAAAAAAAATTTACCATGGTTCGCATGATATCAGCAATGGTTCATAATCCCTAGAATTAAACAAAAGATTTCCCATGGTTCGCAAGATTTTCGAAATGGTCAAAAATCCGGTAAATTAAAAAAAAAAATTTCCATGGTTTTCAAGGTTTTAGCAATAGTCCAGAACCCGTAAAATTAAAAAAAAATTTTCCATGGTTCGCATGATTTCAGCAATGGTCCATAATCTCTAGAATTAAATAAAAGATTTCCCATGGTTCGCAAGATTTTCGCAATGGTCAAAAATCCGGTAAATAAAAATAAAAAATTTCCATGGTTTGCAAGGTTTTAGCAGTAGTCTAAAACCCGTAAAATTAAAAAAAAATTTACCATGGTTCGCATGATTTCAGCAATGGTTCATAATCCCTAGAATTAAACAAAAGATTTCCCATGGTTCGCAAGATTTTCGCAATGGTCAAAAATCCGGTAAATTAAAAAAAAAAATTTCCATGGTTTGCAAGGTTTTAGCAATAGTCCAGAACCCGTGAAATTAAAAAAAAATTTACCATGGTTCGCATGATTTCAGCAATGGTCCATAATCCCTAAAATTAAATAAAAGATTTCCCATGGTTCGCAAGATTTTCGCAATGGTCAAAAATCCGGTAAATTAAAAAAAAAATTTCCATGGTTTTGCAAGGTTTCAGCAATGGTCCATAATCCTTAAAATTAAATAAAAGATTTCCCATGATTCGCAAGATTTTCGCAATGGTCAAAAATCCGGTAAATTAAAAAAAAATTTCTCATGGTTTTCAAGGTTTTAGCAATAGTCCAAAACCCGTGAAATTAAAAAAAAATTTACCATGGTTCGCATGATTTCAGCAATGGTCCAGAATCCTTAAAATTAAATAAAAGATTTCCCATGGTTTGCAAGATTTTAGCAATGGTAAAAATCTCTAAAATTAAATAAAAGATTTCCCATGATTCGCAAGATTTTCGCAATGGTCAAAAATCCGGTAAATTAAAAAAAAAAATTTTCCATGGTTTGCAAGGTTTGCAATAGTCCAAAACCCGTGAAATTAAAAAAAAATTTACCATGGTTCGCATGATTTCAGCAATGGTCCATAATCCTTAAAATTAAATAAAAGATTTCCCATGGTTTGCAAGATTTTAGCAATGGTCAAAAATCCCTAAAATTAAATAAAAGATTTCCCATCATTCGCAAGATTTTCGCAATAGTCCAGAACCCGTGAAATTAAAAAAAAATTTACCATGGTTCGCATGATTTCAGCAATGGTCCATAATCTCTAAAATTAAATAAAAGATTTCCCATGATTCGCAAGATTTTCGCAATGGTCAACAATCCGGTAAATTAAAAAAAAAATTTCCCATGGTTTTCAAGGTTTTAGCAATAGTCCAGAACCCGTGAAATTAAAAAAAATTTACCATGGTTCGCATGATTTCAGCAATGGTCCATAATCCTTAAAATTAAATAAAAGATTTCCCATGGTTTGCAAGATTTTAGCAATGGTCAAAAATCCCTAAAATTAAATAAAAGATTTCCCATCATTCGCAAGATTTTCGCAATGGTCAAAAATCCGGTAAATTAAAAAAAAAATTTCCCATGGTTTGCAAGGTATTAGCAATAGTCCAGAACCCGTGAAATTAAAAAAAATTTACCATGGTTCGCATGATTTCAGCAATGGTCCATAATCCCTAGAATTAAACAAAAGATTTCCCATGGTTCGCAAGATTTTCGCAATGGTCAAAAATCCGGTAAATTAAAAAAAAAATTTCCCATGGTTTGCAAGGTTTTAGCAGTAGTCCAAAACCCGTAAAATTAAAAAAAAATTTACCATGGTTCGCATGATTTCAGCAATGGTCCATAATCCCTAGAATTAAACAAAAGATTTCCCATGGTTCGCAAGATTTTCGAAATGGTCAAAAATCCGGTAAATTAAAAAAAAAATTTCCATGGTT